CTCTCTCTCTCTCTCTCTCTCTCTCTCTCATTCTTTCTCTTTTGGTCAGTGGCGATCGTGCGTCGCGGTCCTCATAGCGTTCTCTCTCTTCGTTCCCTTCGACCAAGAGAGGATCTTCGTTCGACGCGAACACCTTTCCTGCCTTTTTTCTTCTTTTTCACTCTCTCTTCGTCTTTTCTTCTTCTTTTATCGCGTTTCCTTCTCCGACCGATTCTTCCTCGCCCCCAAACCCCTGACTCCACTTTTGCATTCCGCGTCGCCGAATTACCGCTTAAGGCTGCTCCTCTCCACGCTGGAGAAATATCTCGGGGAAGAGGGGAGAGGGGAGAGGGGAGAAGGGAGAGAGGGAAAGGACGTGGCCGGTGACGATCGTTGCTCGTGGACGCAGAAAACGATCGACTCGATTTAAAATCAACGAAATCTTAGGGTCGAAGATGTTAATTATAATAAACGATGATGTTGATAATTCCTCTTAATTGCTCGTTAACGCCTGTAAATGTTCGACCATAACGCTTTGCAGTGAATTATGATTGACGTTCTCTTATGGATAAGTTTTTTTCTTTTTTTTTTTTTATAGGTGAGGTAAACAGTACTTAACGTTAAGTACGTTTTTAATTATTCGTTATTTAACAAATTCGTGATACAAAGTATCTAGAAAATATAATTTGTTATGTCTCGATTCTGAAAATGCTTTACCAAGCTGAGTGGCGCCTGTAATTAAAAGGTTAATTCAGTGGTTATATTTTCCTCATTTTCCTACAATTATTTGCCACGTCTCTCTATTACTTTTTTCTACAAATAATTCGATAATATGAACTCTCAGAGAAACAGGATTACGATATTACACGTGGATCGATCTAATAAAATTATGAGGTAGAAAGTTATTCTCAAGAAGATAATCATATAAATAAGCTTTATTTCCTCTGTAAACGATCGTTGCACGTTAAAATATTTGTATCCGCTACTTTATTACATACCTTGAAAATAAACGAATTGATCTCGAATTAAGAATACAGTTATTCCCTTTCTCTCTTTCTCTCTCACGCTCTCTCTCATGCTTTCTCTTCTCTTTATATACACAAACGCGATAAAACGTTTTTAAAGCAATACTAAAAAGAAACGTATATATATATATATATATCCGCGAATGAATATTCATCCGACAAGCGAAACATTTGAGAAAATCGTGGCCCGTGTAACCAGAAACGTGAAAAACGGTGCAAAAATGCACGACCACGCGAGCTCCGGGCTAACTGTATGTTAATGCGTGAAACTTGCTCGAAATATAAGAGGTGAATCGGCGGTTTAATTTCCCGCGCCCGGTTACCCGTAATTCCGCCCGTAAAAAGTTGAAAATCAAAATTTAAGCCGACTATTTAACGCGAACCGCTCTTAACCGCGAACGATATCGCGCGACGAATATTCAGACGATGGTTTTCTCTCTCTCCGCAACGGACTCAAAAAAAATACCATTGTCTCTACATTTTGTCGATAACGTTTATTGATAATGATTACGACATGATATGAATACGACAATTTTCATCATAAATTATCGACTTTTTTACGATGAATCATGCTTACCGTATACGAGAATATATATGGATTTCAAGTTTCTATAAAATCAACAATAGAATCATGCTATATGTATAGTACACGATCAGAGACAAAAATGACGAGAAAAGAGCGTAGCCTGTTTCGTATTACCGTGGAAACGAACGAAATAAAAACGGATTTATCGTGAACAGGCGCGCAATTAAAAGGCACTCGTAACTCGCGTCCGCCTGGTGCGTTACTGTAATTTTCGCTTATCGATGGGCCGCGAACAGGTTTGAAAATAAACGAGAAAGAATCGGAACGCGCCGCGCTAAGTAAACAATCGCGCGTATCCGAAATTATCGTACCGGTACCCACTTTCAACGCGCTTCGAAAATCGATGTTTCATCCAGTTTTCGAACGTTAACGATAACGGGGATATTTACGCGGTGATGTTTTGAAATTCGCGCGCTTTTTATCGCCGCCTCCCTCCCCTTCCCCCGTTCTTCGTCGCGCCAATTGAAATTAAATTGAAAAATTCCGCGAGGAACGGAAACAAGAGAGAGAGAGAGAGAGAGAGAGAGAGAAAGATGTTAATTCTTTCGAGTCGGTCGAATACGAAATCGATACGTACGTTAAATTAAATAAATACCGTGATGCAAAAGATTATTATCGTATTCTATAAAATTGAAAAACAATGGAAAGCGTGCAGAAATTAAATAATATTTATCGAATCGAGCCTAATATCCTTCCTTTTTCTCCGTAATAGATGCGCCTACCGACGCTCATTTCGAAGCAACGTTTTCACGCTACGAAGCTATAAAAACCCGCGCGTGCATGTGCTCGAATCTGGATTTTCCCCTCGCGTATCCGCCAGGCTAGGGAGGCGGAAAATTATCCCTGGAAACTTCTCAACCGTTGTTTTTCCCTCCCTCTTTCCCGCCACCATCTAATTTTCTCCCACCCTATCACGTCCACCCTTCACAACCCTTGATCCTAGAACGTACCACCTCGTCGTAACGTGACTATGTAACGCGCGCTATGTACGTGATCGCGGCGTTTAAAAAACTTACCGATTTTGGATCTCGATGAACCTTAGCAGGGTGAACGATAATAACCCCCTCCCCCTCCCTCGATTTATATATAACGTCCAGCTACCGTTTTATTACACGTTTTTTTTTTCTCTCCTTTTATTTTTTTCCCTACTCTTTTGTCCATTACGCGACGTGTAATTTTGACTAATCTATCGATCGGTTAATGAAGAGACACCGAGGTTGATTAAAAGGAAATGGAATCGTTTTAAATCATCGATCTAACGATTAAACATTTAAATAATTAAACGTCTTGCGCGCAGATACGATCGTTTTATCCTTAACGTATACACTATTCATTCGCATCCGTGGATTACGTGGATACCGTTCGTTATATCGATCACTTGTGCTACTTTCAATACGTATAATTCCTAATGAAAATATCAAAAAAATGTTCGTTCATGCGAGCATCATCGACGCAAATTCGTCGAAACGCAGTTTTCTCTCTCTTTAAACCGGGATGAAGAGAGAGAGAGAGAGAGAGAGAGATTTTCCCCAAGCGAAGAAGAGGGGTCAGGAGGATGGAAAATTATCCCTGGAAAGCCCCCTTCCCTCTCCCCCCTACTCTATAAATTTCTCCCTTTCGGATCCATCGCTCGCGTCGAACCTGTCCCGATTGCCGCTTCCTTCTCGTTTTCGTGGCGGGCAAACCACGGCCGGTTTCTCTCTTTCTCCCCGGACAGTTGGTCGGTCGGGTTCCATCGTTTTCGCGTGTGTATACGTGGGCAAGGCGCT